AGGGCTTCTCCCCCGTGTGGATGACGTAGTGGTGAATGAGAGCTGTGCTCTCACAGAAGACTTTCCCACACTCGCTGCACTCATAGGGCTTCTCTCCCGTGTGGCTCTGCTGGTGCCACATGAGGTATGACCTGTGTTTGAAAACCTTGCCACACTCAAAGCACTCGTAGGGGGTCTCGCCACTATGGACGATGTGGTGTCGAAGGTATCCTGGCCTATGTCGGAAGACTTGCCCACATTCTTTGCACACGTAAGATTTTTCTCCAGTGTGCCTCCTCTTATGCAGGACGAAATTGGAGCGGTGGGTGAAGGCCTTTCCACACTCACTGCACTTGTAAGGCTTCTCACCACTGTGAATGCGCTGGTGTTGCGTGAGGTACGACTTGCGGTTGAAGGCCTTCCCACACTCCATGCACTCGTAGGGTCTCTCCCCCGTGTGGATCATGTGGTGCTGGAGAAGATGAGTGCTCTTAATAAAGGTTTTCCCACACTCTGTGCATTCATAGGGCTTCACTCCAGAGTGAATCCTCTCATGTCCAGCAAGAAGGTGTTTCTTGTTAAAAACCTTCCCACATTCACTGCATTTAAAGACATTTTCCTCCTTCAGATTCACGAGTTCTTTACCTGGCTCCCATGAGTTAAGGTCAAGCACAGCAACTGCCAGCGGGGCTGGCTCCTGTACATCCCTGGGCCCCACGCCAGGGGCTGCGCCGGAGCTGTTGTGTTCAGCACTCAATTTACCCGGGCTCGTCTCCTCCCAGGGCTCTCTTTCTGGTCCCAATTGTTCTTCCTGCAGGGCTGCCAGTCCTCCCCTGCCCTGGGTTTGGGCTGCCTGGTGGTATTCCGGTGCTCCCTCATGAATGGTAGGTTCTGCAGTCTTCAGTTTTTCTCTGTTACCTGAAAAAACAAACAAACAAACAAACAAACAAAAAAACCCCAAAGGTGTGGTAGTGATGCCAGCAGAGAGGAAACCCATCAGCATTCCAGTGACAAGCTATGTCTGTTCGGTAATCTCTAAACTTAGGTCACTTTCTTCATAGTCCTTAAACTCCAGACACCTCATGAGCGAGACCCAGAAGAGACTGGGTAAGAGGGACAGGTTTGGGGTAGGGTTTCTGCCACAGTTCCCAAGGGACGTGGTTGTGGGGTGTAAGAGTTGTGCTCGGTGCTGGGTTCCCTCTTGACCAGGGCACCCGTTTCACTATAAGAGAGCAGCTGCAGAGGACGAAGAGAAGTGTGTGAGCAGAGTTACCCTCCCCAAAGCGAAGTGAGGCCTTAGGGTCTTTGCCTCTGCTCCAGGAAGCAGCATCAGACCTGGTTATTTCCAGAGCGACAGTGTCTCCATTAGTCTCAGTGAGAGCCTGGAAACGTTCCTGATGGTTTATGACAACAAGTAATTCACGTTGTTTATGCTAAAAGGTACTCAAAGTAAGTTCTGGTCACATCACAAAGTCCAACCGTGTAATCAGAAATAGAATGTTGGGGCCTCCCTGGGCGCACAGGGTTTAAATCGCAGCACTGTGAAGCTGTCCCCAGCCGCTGCAGCCCAAGTTCGATCCCTGGCCAGGGAGTGACCTCCAGACAGCAGCAGACCCCTTCTGTCTCCTGCTGCCCCCTCAGCAGTGCGAGACAGAAGGTACACAGCCAATGTACCCTTGGGGAAGGGCAGGGCTTGCACTGCTCCAGGTACACCCCCATTCCTGTCCCACAGCTGTGTGGAAGCTGCACATGTTGAGGAAGACGCCTCCAAGTAAGCGGGACGTAAGTGAAGGGCACGACCTGGAAGGGCAACCCTAGGCCTGGAGCAGGGACTGGCCATGGCAGGGCCTGCAAGGCAAGGGAGGACAGGGCAATGGGCTGTGCCTGGGAGGACCAAGGAAGCTGTCTCCAGAGCACAGGCTGCCCAGGATGCCGCGAGAGCCCAGACCAGAAAACCGACAGGGGTGGCACCGATGCCTGGGAGGAAGGTAAGTGGACTTTCCCAGGGCAGAGCCTCAGAGGCAGAGATTCAAGGTTGGCAGAGGCTGAGCAGCATCGCAGGCCTGAACTCAGGGGCTCGGTCAAGGTGACCGGAGGGGGGAGCTGGGCCAAGACAGCAGCAAGCACTCAGGGTCCCTGGAACCGAGGCCAGGAAAGCCCCAGGTCACTGGGCGGCATGAACGGAATGGACTGGGACTGCGACGCTGGGACCGCCACTCCTCCACGTGCACATGGCGCAGCCCGAGGCCCCAGGGAGTGAGCCTGAGTCTCCAGACGGACAGCAGACAACGGAGCCTGCCTGGCTGGGCACACGCGCTGTGCCTGGGGGACGACAGAGGTTCTTCCAGGAACCAGAGAACACAGACGACTCTTGAGGGGACGAGGCTGGTGGCTCCTCCTGGTCTAAAGCCTGAGGCCCCCAGACACTGCCTTCGGCCCCTACCTGCCCTGCCACCACCCGCCACCACCCCCTACCTGGACAGGCGCGTCTGGCAAGACTCCCCTCCGTCAGCCACGGTGCCAGTGGGCACAGCCACTCCGGTCCAGGCACAGGACACCCTGTGAAGGCAGAGGACACAGTTTCTGTGGAAAGAAGCAAAAGCTCCCTCTTCCAGGAGGCACTGCCTCCCACTGGCCCATCGGGTCCCAGCATGGGTGGCCGAAACCCTGGCGCCTGGCACCACACCCTGGGACCCAGGCTGAAGTGCAGGCAGCCCCCCATAGCCCCAGCTGCCCGGGGAAGGCAGGGACCATGGCGCCTGCCAGAGACAGCGCCGCCAGCCTGGACGTGGGGGAGAAGACGGGCGGCAGCCGAGCTGAGCAGTGCGGTTCGCACACCAGCAGCCAGCACTGCTCCAGGGGCCGACACCCCACCAACACCCCCGGCGCACGGCCCCTCCAGTCGCGTGTCCCACAGGCCAGGCTGCCCCACAGGCCAGAGGCTGCTCACCAGATAGGGCCGCCCAAGCCTGGCTCAGCAAATCTGAAGCGAAACAAGCACACAGCCGCCGGGCGGCCCCAGCCCCAGTGCACCTGGGCCTCCACTGGCCACGCTTCAGGGCCCCGACTCCACTGGCCACGCTTCAGGGCCCCGACTCTCCGAGGGCCCCGACTCTCCGAGGGCCCCGCCCCAAGCGAACAGGCCGGGACAGACACCTGCATCGCCTCGAAAGGGCCACCCCATGTCCTCCACATTGTCCACAAGACAGCGAGGTGCCCAGCCAGGATGCTCCACCTCTGTCACCACCGCTGCCTCCCCCGGCGAAAGCAGGACCCAGGACCTCCTCGCTTTCTTGAGCCTAATCCCGCCCTACCGGTGACCCTGACGCAGCCTTGACACCTGCCACTACAGAAGCAGGGTCAGGCCCACAGGGGCCACCCCCGGCTCTCTGGGCACCACCCTCTGCCCAAAGCTGTGTCCTCCCCAGCTTTCCCTGCTAGCTTCTCAGGCTGTCCCCACAACGTAACACTGCGCCAACCGGTCCTGGTCCCTTTTGCTGGCCGCTTCCTGAGCGGTAAGAACAAAGGAACGGCCTTCCTGGGCTATGACCCCAGACAGCTTGGAAAAGAGAAAGGTGAAAGAAGCGTTTCCAATTGCGGCGACTGTCAGTATCAGTCGGCGAGTTCTGGGAAACCTGCAAGGAGAGGCTGGCTGCGGGGGAACAAACCGGGACTAACGGGTTGAAACCTTCAGCCACACCTGATCGCTATGGCCCGGAGACTGACCGTGTCCCATGGCGGCGTCAACTGAGGAGGCCTCAACCCAACCCCTTAAGGGCAGTGGCTAGCCGCCAGGCTGGCGCCGGGAGGTGGCCACCTCCGCCCTACGCGCCCTGCCCAGACTCTCCTGCCGGGCTGTTCCAGAGCTAGTCCTAAGAGTGGGGTGCTTCCCCGAGTTCCGGGCGCTGCTGCATGCGGGCTGGTGGGAACCTGCAATGTGCAGCTGGCAGGGGAGTGCAGGTGACAGTGGGCGGCAGGGAGGGCTGGCCCCGGGGCCGGGCCTGTGACCGCGGGGCCTTGCCAAGTGCAGTTACTACCGTAGTACAGCGGCAGGGCAGCGTCTCGAACTGCCGCCTGCGGAGAATCCACGAGCTGGACGCCAATATGGCAGAAGAGGAAAACCCAGAGTCTCTGGCACATCACACAACCGAGGACAGACCCAGAATGCTGCGGGCGGATTTCCTCGGACACCTCGTCACGGGTCTGCCGCAGGCATCGCCTCCCTCCGCTGAGCTTCTCACTGACGAACCTACCGGATGCCCCAGCTCACTTCTGAGCGGCACCGCGCGTCACGCTTTGGAAACGCATCTGCTGCCACCCGCCGACACCGCTTCGCTGCAAACACCAGAGGCCGAGGCGCAAGCACTCTTCCCCCACTTATTTTTATGCTTTGACACCTCAATGTCCCCCCCAGACAATTCCTGACATACAAAGCAGCTTGCACTGAAAGCAAACACAAAGATTGCTTGGTTTCATGCACAAACAAGCCAAGGCGACGCCCCTCCCCTTTCCCCACGCACCCACCAAGTAGTTACTTCCCCTGCACCCATCAACCCCCTCCAGACAAGCAGGGTCAGC